ATCAGTCATAGGTTATCTTCAATTCTTCTCTGCTTGTTAAATAAACTTTTATTAATATGCAACAACAGCTGGCTAGGAAGTTCTCTGACCAACCTCATCTGTGGGCCTCACAGTAAAGAACCCCTAATAAGGCTGCCAAATGGCTGTGTAGGTGCACTGCAGAGAGAGTGAAGTTCATAGCTTCTAGCAGCCTTCCTTTTTCTTATTTCATTTAAACATTTTTTTTTTGCCTCTGGCAGTTAGTTGGTGTACATTCGCTTAATTTATATCCTGAAACCATAGTCGGTTTGCTTAGCTCAAGTTGGCTAGAATTTTACTTGTGTTTGTAAGACAAGGATTTTAACATAGGGAGAAGTAGGTGGCAAAGGGTCTTCTGGCAAAAACCAGAGATACATGTAAAACACTTCTTTCAGTACAGCCAAGTCCAAGTCTACAACAGCTGCTACAACAAATTTCAACTGTTTTGATGCCAGCAAGATCAGAACCTTTAAGAAAAGGATCAACAGCATTACTGAATCACACTTTCTGAATGATTTATTAGTTGTTTTGTACACCTCACTGCCTCACGTCCCCATGTTCCCTTCGCACGCGTCTAGATTCAGGCTGATGAACATTTTAAAATCTTGTTTATACCAGCCATCAAAAAGTATTAGGAAATCATCTCATGTATTCCCAGATCTACACAGAGCCTATCCTCCTTTAGTTCCATGCTGTTTTTCATGTAGCCCTTCAGGCTTCTAAACCCTGCTGTTCGTCATTTGCCAAGTCCCCTTTTTCAAGACAAAAATGAAAATCCACCTATTCTGTGAAGCACTCCAGTAAAAACAAAATAAAACCCTGCACTGCTTTAAATTTGGTTAGCTCCCTCTTTACCAATATATTTTTTTAAACAAGAGAGTATCTTTCAGTGGGGAGACTTTTCTGTTGAATACCCTCATCTTTTGGGTAGAAAGAACATGAATTTCACACAACCTCTTCGCACAAATGCTGAGCTACCTCTATATATGAATCAGTAATGCACTACAATGAAGCCACGTTTATTAATAAAGAAACAGGTTTTCTTCATAGAAAAAAGCCTTGTGGCGGGGGAAAAAAGGAATTTTGTAGCTGGAGGAATGGAAGAGGAAGTTGGGGGGGAAAAAAAAGAGAGATATGGGCATGGAGGGACTGGCTCAGTACAGCTGATATTTACTGCCCTAGGTCCTCTGACTTCTACTGCTCAGTAAAAGAGATCCCCCAAATTACTTGACAGTTCTGCTCACAAGGCTGCATCCCATATTCGGGGACCTATTGCCAGAACCATGTCCTGTTAGAGTCAACAGGGATAGGATCAGACCCAGTCAGGACTGCATGCAGGACTGTACCAGTCAACTGCAGTCAAGTTCTCCTAGCTACATCTAGGGCCCTATTACTATAGTGACTCAGCACACCACAGTCTTTTACTCTCAGAACCACCTCCCTCCCCAGTCAAATAGGAGTTTGCTGGGATAGTAGAGCTAGGGAATTAACATTTGGGAGACATAATTTGTATTAGATGTTAGGCTGCCTATAGTCCAGACTGGTTTGGTGCTCCTCCACTTTTATTGCTAAAAATGGCATCAGATTTACTATCAAAACTGTACTTACCAAAAGTGCTATTTACACTTAAGGAATAAACCTCATAGCATTGTAACCATATCTAGACAGTTTTAGAGGTATGATGCACCTAACTGAAGTTCATTCAGCAATGAAGCAAGAAGATGCTTACTTGTTCCTCTCACTAAATGCAATAGATTAAGGGTTCTGATTAAAAGATATACTGTATTAAGCTTCAACATCTGGCAGAAGTTGATAATTCAACTAGCCATCTAAATCTCATCCAAAATATTTCTGTTTTAAGGTTCCCAATTTAACCTGTTTATTCAGTTACGTGCCGATGAATTCAAAGTGCACATGAAGTAATTTCCAGAAGTGTGAGGTGTTCTATCACAGTCTATGATAATACTTAAATACACACTAGTATTCTTTATAAGATGATTAAAATCACTGAAAAGGATGGGGTTTTTATTAGTTTTTGTTTCCAATAGAGACCAGCCACACAAATATTGCAATAATGAGACATACAGCATATTCCTTCATGAATTCTCCCTCAGCAACTTATTAACGAGTTCCTTTTAAAATAACTATTTAAAAAAAAACAAAAAACAGCAACAGGGGATGGCTGTGCATATACTCAGATGAATAAGTTCTCTGAACTTTACCCAATGTTGAGCTCCAAAAGCTCACACATTTAGGAAGCTGAGAAAAAATGCATTTCGTACTGCCTGCTATCATCTAATTTCATTCCAAACCACTGGTGTGTCTTCATCAACTACTTTCAGAAGGCATACAAAACCATCACATCTATGGCACTTTATCTAGTACAATATCCAAGTTATTCAAATGGATACTTATGCCTGTAGACAGAAACCCATATCTGACCCACTATGGACAGGTTTGGGGGGTGGGTAGCAGCAGCAGTTCTAGTTTCTTGATAAAACTCTTCTATTCTAGCCCTTCTATCCTTCTGTATATTAAAAAGCAGGTCAACACCCATTTTGGTATTGACTAAATAGGTATATGATGAATATACTTCTTTATACTACATAGAAGCTAAACAAACCTCAATATAACTTTACTGATATTTATGAATTTACACTAGGGACTGACTGGTTCAGAATTGTTTTCATGTCCTTGGCAACTTGAAATGCACTTGCAGTACTTAGCTTGCCCCACTAGAGGTCCAGCTACTGAGGCAAATCACTAAAAATGCAGACTACCTAAAACTAACATCCATGAAATTCAGTGCTTTGTTACCAATCAAGAATTAAAGTTTAGGCTATCTCCTCCCTTCCTCTCTCCCCCCTATTTTTTCCCCCCTCTTTAAACACTGATAGCCCTGCAAAGGATGTCCTGAAAGGAATCACTTCAAGAGCCCTGAAAGACACAGCTGAATACTGCAGTACTTTGGGAAAGAAAAAAAATCTATAGGCTGTTAACTGGCTTACCTACATCTGAAGTAGAATGAGTTGAACAGGACACTTGAGCAAAAGTTTCAAAAAGCCTTCTATACAGACTCAGTATATGCCACAAGTTTTACCAAAAGAAATGGATAATTTTAGGTATTTGTGGCCATCTGCCAACTCCTTTTTGCTACTCATCTTTGCATCCCTTTTTCTGTAAAGAGGGACCTGAGGAAGGGCCTTTTGTGCCAGAAACTTTATCAAGTATCTTTGCCAACGTTACAGTTGGTCCAATATATACTATCATTAGGAAAAAAAGTGCTTCTTGCCTTAAAATGGACAAATTCCCTTAATCTTACTATAACACTGGATGTCTAATTTCTCTCTGTTGTAGAGACCAGCTAAGTACTTTTTTTACATATGAAATACTGCAATCATTTCAAATCCAGACATACTAGAATTAGAATTGATTGAAAATAGTTACTGATTTTATCAAAAAATATGAATACATTTTTTTAAAACTACAACAGGTTCAGCTCTACTCTGGACCTTTCAAGAGTAGAAGCACATGCTATGGGGAAAATCCCTAGCTAAGTAGTCAACGGGTAGCTTTAAATCAACCAGATGTTACCCTCTGTGTATTCCACTAGCCATACATGAAATATTAAATCTTAAAATGGTCACTGTTCTACAACTGATATTGTCCATACGTAAGGAAAGGGACAGAAATTTTTATGGTAGGTCATCTTTAAAACGATGGCTCTTTGAAACTTCATAGAGCTGTAGCATATGAGAAGAAATCTAGGCAAAAGAATTAATGAGAAAAACGCAGGTGTCACAGTACAAGATATATGAAAATGCTGCTTTATAATTTAGCAGAATGATACCACAACATATACAGCATGCACAGGTGTACAGATATATAGAAATATATTTCTATGTTGTAAATCAATGTAGTTAATTTTGAATACAACATCAACATTTAGTTGGTCTAATAAAAAGATATATCTACCCAAAGAACCTACATCAAAATTTAAATATTAAATTCTAGGTTTGATGTGAGGAAAATGTTCAGATCTTTAAAGTGAGTTGACTTCTACCTAATAGTCCAAGTATGCAAGTAAAACATACCTATAGAGCGGCTTTGCATTCACAGTGTGTTCTTAAACAACATATACAGTCTCAGTTACAAAGGAAACACCAAACCATTATGAATTGAGGAAAAAATTTCTATTCAGCTGAGGAACAGCATTCAAAAGAGTCTCCACCATGCTGAATGTTTAGACAAATATAACATGGAAGTGAATGCTGAGCATCCTACTACATTCAAATACACTGGTATGATTTACTTTGTGCCATTTCAGTTTAATCGTACCTAACCTGTGCCACACCTTCCAAGGTTGGCAACAAAGAGCAACAGCTGGAGCACTAGCTGATCCAGGGCTGTTGGAAGAATCCCTTGACTAGAGACCAGATGGTAAATTAGAGCAGAATTCAGACAGAAAGCTGCTTTAACTTCCATTGGTAAATTGACCAGTCCACATCTGGCCCCAGGATGAGAAGAGAATAAAGGTTGGCCACTTCTTATCTCTCTGCTGTAGTGTAAGGACTCACATATGTAAAAAAAAAAAAAAAAAAAACCCTAACTAAAACACACAGTTCCTTAGGCTTTTCGTTATTCCACAGGCCACTTATTTCAAGAAAGCACCAACCTTCCTGGCCCCATCCCCAATTGTATTTTCTGGCTCACCAGGAAGGATTCCAGAACCAGCGTTGGTCCTTGGACTATAATGTGACAGATTCTAGTCAGCTTGCTTTTAACTTAACTCATCTTTCTATTTTGCTATTATCAAGTGCATAACCTGTCATGCACTAAGGCTCATGGCAAACAAGATGCAGAGCTTTTGTTAGTAAAAGGGAAAAGAGCACCTAGAAGACAGATCTTTCCAGGTTTAAATTATCCAGCATTAAAACTTCCAAGCAGGTACTTAGGGAACATGTAGTTCTGCTAGATCTCACCTCCTCAACCATGTGTTTGACTTTCTTTTGTTGACAATGGACCATGTCATCCAGATGTTTGATTCTCTCTCTCAGATTAGCTGCTACCTCCTCCAGATGTTGAGACCTAGCATGAGTTACAAGAATTAAAGTAACTTTGTAAGCCATCTAACATGAATAAAACACAAAAATAGTACCCACTGTTTATCAGATAGAATAGATTAACATACACCCCCCCACACACACACACACCCCTTGTTAGATAAGTCAGATCCCTGTCTGTCACTGTCACTTCCTTTGCCAAGAACAGCTTTAGTCATCTTTCAGCCATAAGTCATTGCCAGCCACCACCCAGCATAGCTCTCCTTTGCTTTGTACACAAGCTTGGTTACCCACAGAGCTTGAAGTTCTAGTAACAAATTAAACTAGAAGCTAATCTTCAGAGACATGAGAAAGGAAAGGAATACAAAAACTCAGATTTGTCACCTAAACAAAACAAAATGTTTTATGACATTTCAAAATGCAAAAATGTCAATTGAACCTGAAGATTCAATCCTGTAAACACTCGCACATTATACATACAAGACACTCCATTAACTAAGTATC